CCCGTGCAAGCACTCGGTGGAGAAGAAGACAATGACCAACCCCACCACTGTCATTGAAATCTACCCCGACACCACCGAGGTGAATGACTACTATCTCTGGTCCATCTTCAACTTTGTATACCTCAACTTCTGCTGTCTTGGCTTCATCGCCTTGGCCTATTCATTGAAAGTGAGTACTGAGCATGCAGCACAGGGTAACGGGTGGCTGGAGAAGGGGGGGAGTGTTTGGGGATCGCACCTGATGCAAGTCACATTTTTGCCAGGCAAATGAAAGGTCCCAGCCGCTAGGGATGGGGATGGAGAGGGCTTAGGTATGTTTTGGAGATGGGGATGTTGCTTTGAGTGGGGAAGAGGTGTTTTGAGTGGGGAAGAGGTGCTTTGAGTCGCTCTGGTACCCTTGGAGGTTCCTCTGTACCGCAGTAGCAGGATGATGGGCTGGCTTGGCTCATGCTGCACCCACAGGTATCCCAGCACTCGATCCCTTCCTTGGGATCCTGTCAGTTAGAGATCATCAGGGTAGGACCCAGCAGCATCAGATGGTCGGGCAGAAGCAGTAAGAAGCAGCTGGCAGGGATCAGCCGGCGCCTGGCAAGTTGCAGCAGGGGAGAGGCTGCCAGGGCGCGGGGCTATTCTGCCAGTTTAATTCTTGCCCTCTTCCTAACTAAAACACCAGCTGGTGGCCAGCTCCTCTTCCCCTGCCACTTCCAAGCCCTATAAATCCCAAGGCCAGCTCTGGAGACCTGCCAGCATCATCAGAACAAGCTCCAGATTAACAAGGAGGTGGAAGAGGGTGCAGTGGGGCTTCACACAGCATCGGGTCTAGGGAAAATGATGTTGATGGCGATGGTGTGGAGCACAGGCCGTGGTGGGGATGGGAACAGGTTACTCCCGGTAGCTGCAGGGGAGAGCAGCCCAGCAGGGATGGCACCCAGCAAACGGGCAGCCCCTCAGTGGCTGCTGGAGAAAGGGGCCTGGGCTGCCCTCCCCTTCCCGGCCTGGCAGATGCAAAACTAACTGAATGGATGTGCAGAGAGCCCCGGGCGGCTGGGTGGCCCCGGCAGGAGAGAGCTGATTTGTTTTGGCAGGCAGCATTTAGAGGAAGGCCAGGGCGCAGACGGGCTTCATCACAGAAGCAGATCGATTAACCCCATCCAGCTCCCACAAGCTGGACTGTGAGTGCCCAGAGCCGCAAGGAGGCTGCGTCTGAGCCTGTCAGGGTTTCTGGCAGAAAAGCTCAGGGACAAGTCTGTGGACCCATGCCCTATGCAAACCCAGCACTGGCACCATGGTGCCTGCCTCAGTTTCCCCTTCCCCAAGATGGGAGGTGAGCACACATCCACCACTCATGCAGCAAGCCTCACTGCTGCCTGGGCAAGGCACTTAATAGCTTAAATCACGCCAGGATTGAGCATCACCACAAGCAGGACTGACCCAAGGGCAAATCCAGGCAGCGGCAGCCTAACACAAGTTGGGGGAGAGAGTCCCTTAACACCCCCCACTCCTTTTCAGCCTTTTATAGAAGAAACTGGCTTCCTCCATATTTTTCATGTCTTTGCTCATCTGAATTTACCTTTAATGGTCAGTATCTTTCCTGTGGAAGAGGCACAGTCACAGCAGGCTAAGAAATGGTGTCATGTCACCAGGACATGGGGATAGCTACAGTGGGTATCTGGATAGACGTGGTCCCTTGGTTGCAGCCAGCAGCAGGGGCAGGACAGTCTAAGGACCAGGCTGAGCCATCCCCAGGGGACAGGATGGATTAGGGTCTGCCACCTACAAAGCTTTTAGAGGCTGGACCCTTCACTATCCTTGACATGAGGTGGAAGGAAGGTCAAAGCCCAGAAGTAAGCTGGGATTGCCAGGGCAGAGGTATGAGTTCAGCACCTGTCTGCAAAGGTCTAGAGGATATAAACTACACTGTGAAAAAAAGAAGCAGAAGTGAGGGAAGGCAAACGGTCAAATTTGCTTCAAATCAGAGAAAGAAAAATAGAAGATGGCTGTCAAAACCCAGCCTTGGCTTTTGGACTGCAGAGATGGTAGCTGATCGGATGTAATGGTGGTACCCAAACAGATGTAATGCTGAGTGGGTAGAAATAACCCTGCTCTGGTCTTGGAGCTCCCCAGTGGCTGTGACTCTGTGGTTGTGGGGGAAATAGAAACAGAATGTCCCTCAGAGGCACAGGACAGAGCTAGCAAGTGGCTGAAAGGATGGCAGGTGCCTTCATGGGCTGCTCTTGGGATGGGTGGTGGGAAGCAACTGGGATGCTGGGGCAGTAGCAGATCTGCCCTGGGGAAGAACACTGGGATGCTGAGAAAGACAGGATCCATCCTCAGTTATAGCTACCGCGAAAACCTTCACAACGTCCCAGCTAGGCTGGGTGTGGGACTTATTTCTCCAGGAGCCTGTTGTTTTCATCTCTTTTATGATCAATGAGGTTTCTCCCAGAAGTTCAGAGAAAGCAGAAGCACGAAAAGCCCTGGGACAAACGTCCCTTTAAAAAGACTTTTTTTTTTCCTCTGCAATTAAATGTAAGGACAATTGAGCAGCAGATACTTAAGTCCCAGCCTTCCTAAGATGCCTCTGCTCTGCAAGACCAAGTAAGGTGCTGTGGGAGGGAGAGGAGGGGAGCAGCCCCTTCCCTTCCCTGAGCCTGCTCTGGGATGTCTGACAGCAGAGTCCTTGACTGGTTTAGCACAGGGTTCCTGGCTGAAGAGCCATTAGTGTGCTGATGGCATTAAAAGGTTCCTGGGTTATGGTTTTTACACTTCCTTTAAATAACTGAAACATCTAGCAACCTCAGGAATCGTAATTTTCATTATCAGAGATAGCTTTCTCAATACCCTGCCATAAATGTCATCTGCTTTTGCTAGATTCATGCTGTTAATAAAGCAGTAGATCCTTCGTCCCCCAAGTCCGTGAGAGGTTTCATTAAGTATCTTAGCACACTGTAGTATCTCCACCAGTTTCAGCCCACACTGGAAGACAGATGTATGCCTAGGTACACTTGAATGTTATCGTAAATGTCTCCTTCCCCATGCCCACTTTCATTGGTTTTAGACACAGCAGTACCTCCATGTCTGCCTAGCCTTTTGCACATGAGCTACAGCCTTCTAGATCTCTTCTGCAAGGAAATGCTATTTCATGGTGACCACCATTTACTAAAAAAACATAAAAACCACAAAAAAATACCACCCCAGTGTCAAAGAATTTATACGCTCTTATTCAAAGAAACACATGAAGTCAGGCGAGGGCAGAGACTGTGCACCCAAGCCAGGTACTTTGTGTGACAGACATCCCAGCCAAGTGCTCTGAGTAAGAATGCCACGGCACACCTCATCTTCATTTACACTCGCAGCAAGCCAGATCCTCAGCAGAACAGCTTGCGGGGCTGCAGTGGAGTCACACCAACTCACATATCCCCCAGGGGTGATTTCTGGCATCTCAGGCTTCTCAAGGTCAGCCTGCCAGAGCGCAAGCAAGGCACTTGCATGTAACCGTAAGAGTGTGTTGGTGTTCAGGAAAAGAGAGAAATAGCAGGACCAAGGAAGTTAGAAACCCTGAAGTAACTTTAACCCCAGCCCAGCACAGATGCAAGGACTGGTCCAGTGGCAATGCTTCGGATTTGGTTGGTTTTGATCAGGATCAAATGCTGTGGCCTGATATTTGGTCCAGCTCCAAGCAGTAATGAATGATGCATCAGTGCCTGGTGGCAGGAGATCTCACTTCAGTCATTATGAGGTTCAATCTGGGGAGATCCAAATCTTTCTCAGTATCCATTATGCCAGAGGAGCTGAGGTCTGAGATGAGTGGTGGTACAGATGCCTTGCTGTAGCTGTGTGGAGACAAAGATGTCAAGAAGGCCCACTGGCTTTTTAAACCTCACCAGCAGCCTGCAGGGCTGCTCACAGAGTTTTCCTGCCCCTCAAGGCTACAGAAATATGTGGTTTGATAGCACGTCAGGAGATATGAGCTCTCCTGCCTGTTCTCTGCCTGGCCCTTAGCACACAGCTTTGAGCACGGTTGTTTGCCTTCCCTTCTTGCCACTTGTTGGTCTTTCCTGTTTCAAGAGGAAGCAGATGGGCACGAATCCATAGCTGCTTATTAACCCCAAGGAGCAGAGAAGCTGTGGCACCTGACCTCTCAGGCAGGCTCTCAGCCTGCTTTCCAGGAGGAGCAATGGTTTACAGAGGTGGGTGAAATGCAAGGGTGACGGCCCCGTGACACCAGTGCTGGTGGGGTGGAGAGCTCTTGATCAATTTACAGAGCAAAAAAAGCCAAGGATGCCTTCTAGAGCTCCTTATTTTAGGGACGCTAAGCTCTGCACAGAAATCAGTTTACAGACAACCAGCTGTGGGCTGCATGCTAACAGCCAGCCTGCCTAAATACAGCCTCATTAGGCTCGTTATCAACAAACCATCTCCTGCAAGCTGAGGCAGCACTTTTTAGTCACACAACAAGTTCCCTACTCCTAAAAATGAGCGGGGCTGAGCCCCAGAGCAGAGATACATGGGAGGTGGCTGCTGGGGAAAGAACTGGGAAGGAGCAGGCAATAGGAGCTAAGGGGAAGGCTTGGAGAGAAAGCTGAAGGTAAAGGGGAAGAAGGGCTGGGGATGGTGGTCATAGGGAGGGGAGAAAGAGTCCTTTGGCACCAGCATGCTAGATGTGTTGGAGGGCACATTGAGCTGGAGGTGGTGGAGGGCAAGGTGAGCAGCAGGGAGGTGACAGGCAAGCAGGGGTGGAGGTAAAGGCCACTTGCTGGTGTGGGA